TCACGCATACGTTTGAATATGTCAATAATACAACTATCATGTTTACTGCCTTCTTCTTCAGCTGTTGTACTCCATCGATTTTTAAAAGTTGGATCACACCCACGATTAAGAAGATAATCAACAATAGGAATATGACCACCGGAAGCAGCAAGATGTAAAGCAGAATTTCCATTGAAATCAACAAGATTCATATTAACTGAATGTTGTTCTACAAGCCAACGAACTAGATCGAAATAACCTTTCTTACTAGCACAATGTAATAATGTTTGACGTTGAGCAAAATATTCTGTATCCTGATGTCGTTGTAAACCATTCTTTAGCAACCAATCGAATTCATTTGCAGCCACTCGTACATAATCGATTCGTTTAAATTGAATAAATACTTTTTTTACATCATCGTTATAAGCTTCTTCCTCAGCAGTATGACCACATGAATTCGTTATTCGATAATTGGCTCCATTTTCCAAAAGACATCGAACAATATCAGCATGTCCATAAAAAGAAGCAGCATGTAATGCAGTACTTTGTATGCGTTGCAGTAAATCCGAGTCTGCACCTTGTTCAGTTAAAAATTTTACAGCTTCTATATTACCAGTACGAGCTGCGGTGTAAAGTATTGTGTGACCTGTTATAGAATCTTGAGCGTTGATTATTGTTAAATTAGCGCTGTGTAGCCGTTGTTTTAGATCACGTATTAGGTCAGGTTCAGCAGCCAATTGTTGTGGAGTATATTCATCGATTGACAGTTCAAAGATCCATTCTTTTTGAGAGTCATAATGTTTACGTTTATTGAAATCAGATAATGTTTCATATGCTCGACAGATATGTCGATAATTGATTGCTGAAATTTTCTTTTCGAGATGTTCATGAATTTTCGTTCGATAAACTTCACATAATTTATCGTAGTCTACATCTTCAGGAACATCAAGTATTTCATAGGGTGTTTTATCGAGTGTTGCCATATACGTATTATTTTTTTATCATAAATATTGTCAAACAATCTTGAGTATATATATATATGTATGTCGCAGCGAAGTTGTACCGGTCGACAATTTTGCAATTTCGTCAACAATTTTGACGAATTTATTACTTCGTCAGCCGGCGTAATTTTGCTACGGCATATATATTTGTATAGATATAGAAATATTGAATCGTATGGACAATCATTGCTAGAAATGTCTACAGCAGACATAAATGGCATCAATATACTTCATTTGCCCGATGAAATACTATTTGCTATCACCAACAAATTACATGTAATCAATTTACTTTATTCACTGATGGTGTAAATCAACGATTTGATCGACTAGTACTCAATCGTCTCTACACTCATCATCTAGATTCAAGCGTTAAATCATTGCTTAATAATAACTTTTCAGTAGGCAAACAAGTTCTTGATGAAATTTATAACGTAATTTTGTCTCGAATGAATAATAAAATAAACAAACTCACTGTAGATGGACATTCTATGAAACATATAGTTCGTGCTGTTGCCTATCCTTAACATTATTCATTATTATTTGTCAATTTTCAACTAGATACACTTTTATCATATTTTCACAAGTATTTTTTTTCCAACTTTCATTTATTTAATCAACAAAAGGTTTCTGTAAATTGAAGATGATACAGTACTTCGTTATCTTCTCACTGATCAAATCACATATCTTAATATTGAGATCATTGATGAAAATGAATCAAATTTATTTACATTCATATTATCGATTAGCAAATGTCTAACTAATTTGACTTTTAGTGAATGGTTTTGTCGTATCATAATATGTATATATTATTGAAAGAAAAAAAAATTTCAATCATTATAGTTCTTTTTCAAGGGTATTTTAATGAACAAAGACAGATTTTGAAAAAAGTATCTTTCAAGTAAACAAATACAATTAAAAGAGAAATGACAGATTATGTTCATCATCATCTTCTAAAGAAGAAAAACAAAGATAAGTCTTTATTTGTTATTGAAATTTTCTTAAAAGAATATTTATCTTTTATCTATGTTCATTCAAAGTCAAAGTGGATTTATTGATGAATAATAGTCTGATCAATGAAAATAAAACCAATTTTAAGAAGCAAAAATGAAAAGATTTGAAAATCGAGTTTGCAACATGTCAAATGAATACTAAATAAAAGAATTAGAAGAAAATTTCTCGTTGATATCTTTTGATGAAAGAGATAAGAAATATTCTTGATCAATCTTTTCATATCAGCTATTCATATTATTGATAGTGACCAATTCTCATTTTTATCTTGACCACCGTATATGGAAAAATGATGAAAATGATTTCGTTTTTTCCGAATACAAAAGGTGATGAAAAGATCTCGATTTTCTTTCATATATATATGTCGTATCGAAGTTACACCGGTCGACGAAGTTATAACTTCGTCAACATTCTTGACGAAGTTACAACTTCGTCGTATAAATGTGACGAAGTTATAACTTCGACAGGGAATTTTGTCGAAGTTAATTTTGATTCATCTATCAATAAATAATTTACTTCATTGAATATCCTACTGTTGAATATATAATCAAAAATAAATTTTTTTAAAATAAATATTCATTTATTTAAGAATATTCTTAAATAAATGAATATTTATTTTTGATTATATATTCAACAGTAGGATACTCAATGAAGTAAATTATTTATTGATAGATGAATCAAAATTAACTTCGACGACGATCATCGTCGAAGTTATAACTTCGTCGACCGGTGTAACTTCGATACGACATATATATACACATATGGTTATATAGAGAGGAGTGCATATGTTGAATTGAAAGAATGAGCAGAATAGTAAAAATGACTCATCTGACGACACGATGAATGTTATGTTTACGAGCAAATGGTGGAGAAGCATCATTAACAAAACCTTGTTTAATTCTATGTAATCTCTTATATACCTAAGTGCTTTCTGAAACATTCAAAAAATCAATTTAATTGTGGAACGATGGGATGAACATGGAAGATGATGGAAAAAAGCATT